ATATATTTCTAAATCAGTAGAGGAAAAAGAGAAATAAAGTTTAATTGAAAACAAAAATGGAGGAGGGCAACAAAAACAAATTATGAAACAAAAACTGACATAGCCAGGCATGGTTACACACACCTGTAATCAATCCCAACACTTGGGAGGCTCGGGCAGGAGGACTGCCACTAGTTCAAGGCCAGCTTGGGCTACATAGTGAGTTGAAAGACAGCTTGAATGACATAGCAAGACCCTATCTCAAATAAAAAAAGAAGAAAAATAACATAGAGTAAAAATTTAATAACGGTTCTGACACCTTTGATGCCACATCCCAGCAGTAGCTTTCCAAACCTCTGCCAAAGCACTGAGTAATCATACTGAAAATTCTCTTTTTATTTTTTCCAGTACTGGGGATTGAACCCAGGCCTTCATGCATGCTAGGCAAATGGTCTATTACTAAGATTCACAGATCTTAAAAAAATATTTTAAAATATTTGTTTATTTATTTAGTTTCGAGTCAAGGTCATGCTTTTGTAGTTTAGGCTGGCCTTGAATTCTTTCTTTCTTTTTTTTTTGTACCGGGGATTGAACTCTGGACCTTGAGTTTGTGAGGCAGGTAGTGGAACCACTGAGCTAAATCCCCAGCCCTGGCCTTGAACTCTTGATGATCCTCCAGCTTCAGCTGGCTAAGTGAGTGCCGCCACCCCTGGCTAAATTTTTATTTTATTTATTTATTTTTGTGGTACTGGGAATTGAACCCAGCTACTTTGCACTAGATCCTGAACCCTTTTGAGACCGGGTCTTACTAAGTTGCTTCGTTGCCCAGGCTATGCTCAAACTTGGAATCCTCCTGCCTTAGCCTCCCAAAAGGGCTAGGATCACACTTGGTGCCAACATGTATCTTAACTGGAGCTGTATCTATTGATAGTTCCTCATACACAGGACCTGCTTCAAGTCTTTGGAATGGGCTCCTCCATCTAGGGTGCCTTTCGTTACTCTTGTTTGGCAGATGCTTACCTTTCTGTTATAGCTTGTATCTATGTCCCCCCAAAGGCTCATGTGCTCCTAGGTGGCCCGTTTGGGAGGTGGCTGTATTACTGTACTGTAGTTATCTAAATGTCCTTCCTCCTCACCTACAGCTAATTCATCTTTAAATTTCTAGCAGCTCACATACTGCAGATAAATAACAAATGCGCATTGAGTAAAGATGAATGAAAAGAATCTTTACACAAAATGTTTTGTTTGGTTTGGTACTGGGGATTGAACTTGGGACCTCATGTTTGCAAGGCAGGCCGCAGAACCACTGAGCTAAATCCCCAGCTCTCTCTAGACAAAATGTGAGGTTATTATCATTCAGTAATCTCATGGACATAGGAAATTACGTCTCACCTCCACAATACTCTTGGTCACAGTAGATCTTCCTCTTCGAAGTTCATTGGCTTCTCTTTCTACAAAGCAGAGTGGTACTTTTCCCACAAGGACCACAGAATCCCTAGTGTCCGGAAAGGTAAATTCAAGGCCCAGATCTTCCAGATTTTTGTGGTAACACCTGAGGAAACAGCCTCAAATGTAAGAGTGTTACTTCACCCATATTTCACTACTAGTTCCAAATACTCAATAGATTCTCAAAAGCTAGCACAAACTTTAAAAGTTGTATTTTTTTCACTTATACGTACGTTTGAGATTTTATCAAATGTGTTTTGTGAATTACAGTAGTTCCCCCATACATGACTTCACTATCCAAAATTTCAGTTATCTGTAGTCAACCATAATCCAAAGATATTAAATTCCAGAAATAAATAATTCATGAACCAAAGTTTTTTAGGTGCTGGGGATTGAACCCAGGGGCCTGTGCATGCTAAGCACTCCCTCTGTCACAGAAGTACACCCCCAGCCACAAATTGTAAGCTGTGTGCCATTCTCAGTAGCATGACAAAATTCCGTGCTGTCTTGCTCAATCATCCGTTTGTGCAGTGTCTCCAGCTGCCCTCACCACATACCTGTTATTCACTTAGCCATCAGACAGAATATCTCAGTATAGTGTCATTAGTATTCATGTAACCTTTATTTTACTTAATAACGGTCCCAAAGCACAAAAGAGGCAGGAGAGCATAAAATGAAAGGACTGATTGACACTACATGGAAATGCTGAAAGCATACAGAAAAAAGTGTACATAAGGCTCAGTACATCTCAGTTTTCAGTACCCACTGAGTCGTGAACACATTCTCCACAGAGGAGAGAAGGGTGCACCGACCTTCTTTTCTTTCTTCTTTGTCTTCAATTTTCCCTTCAGAGAATCAATTTCTTTCTAAATCTTGTGCCTAAATTTTATTTTTCACTGAGGTACTGCTAACCTCTTGCTGCTGGTACTTGGAGGAGTTTGGCGCAAAGAAAAATTCTGAGAAATGTTTTGAATCAGCATTAAAGCAGGGAGGCCCAGGAACTGAGAAGCAGGGATATAAATAAATGAATCTGCCTCTCATAAATCATGCCTCAGACCCTATGGTGAGTGTTATCATTACATATGCCTAAAATATACCAATAAATGTTTTGCTATTTAAAAAAATATGCCCCAAAGAAAAAGATGTGGTGTACTCCCAAACCTGAAATAAACTGATAGGCAGACAATATTCTTTTTCTATTTTCAATAATTTGCACTGTCCAGAAGTGGGAAAATGTCCTTTCTTGTAACTCGCTGTATGATTTCTCCCTTCCTTTATTATGTGTTTGACTTTCTTCCTAATAAGATGATGGTAGTAAAGACTCTGGACAAAGCAGAACGGAAGTGATTACTGCATTAACTTTGCCTTCACAAACAGCACAGCATAAACATTTGACTGTTTCAAGAAATGGCAATAGTGTTCTAAGCCAACTGCTGGAAAAAATTATCAGGGAAACCCTATCCTATGTTCAGCAGCTGCAATATAGTGGAAAGAACAGCATGTGAAGTCAAAGGCCTGCCTCTGAGCGCCTGCCCTACCACTTAAAACCCGTTATGACCTTGAATAAATCACATAATCTCTCCTGGTCTTGCTTCCTCTTCTTCTAAATAGTGGGACAACAGTTATGCTCATACTTCACAGAACCATTGTGAGAATTTACACTACAACATCCCTTCCTCAACATGTACTAACCATAAGAGTCTCCTCTGTTCCTCGGTCACTGTTATCTCTAGAGGAGGAATTATAGTGGAGGACAGTAATTTTTTCCGACCACAGCCTTGGGGTTGTTGCTTCTCATATGAGTCTATTGGAAGAAAGATGAATAGGTTAAGTGTAGGAAGAAAAGTCTTCTATATTCAAATAAAAATTAAGCACTATAAAGCATGGCTATGATACAAATATTCTAGTGCTTAGTGATATATTCCAGACTTTGGATTTCCATTATTAAAGTGCATCTAGGATATATCAAGCCAGTTTATTCATTTTAGCAGAATTTTAAAGAAATACACGACTTAAATCTCACTTAAATCATTGTTCAAATGAACAATGCAAGGTTCCTATACGTAATACCTGTGATTTTTTTTTTTTGTACCGGGGATTGAACTCGGGACCTTGCGCTTGTGAGGCAGGCATGGTGCCACTCAGCACCAATACCTGTGATTTTTAATAACAGAGGTGCATAATTTAGATTACTGGGAAATATATGTATAGATTTACCACATGATCCTATGGCTCAAGAATGCTCTTCCTTCAGAAGGGTCTTCCCATCTCCGAAGAGGGTTCTATTCTCAAATGGTGCAGGTCCTGTAGCGAGTAAGCTTTTCTCACACTGTCTTTGTTATATCGTTCCCAGTTTTTAGGCCTTCACTTTATAAGGAAAAATGAAAGCAGGGCCAGGGATTTGGCTCAGTGGTGCCACTGCCTGCCTCACAAGCACAAGGTCCCGAGTTCGATCTCCAGTACCAAAAAAAGAAAGTGGTAGCAGTATCATTGCCATTCTAGCCCACAAAATCTCTCACTAAGTCTTCACACCTAACTCTTGATATTAAAGTCTTTCATTACTTGACCGTGGGAGTAAAGATTTCTCTGGTATTTTACCACTTGGTGAACACACTGCCTCAAGATGACAAAGATGAATAACAAAACTAAGAAGCATATATGGACTTTGGGAAGATACACAAAAAATCATTAGTATGGGTTGCCTGTGGGAAGAGAAACTATGTGGGACTTTGGACAAGGGTATAAAGGAGGATTTATTATATTTTCTTTTGTACTTTCTAGAATTGGATCTATTTGTCATACTACCTCTTTAAAGGTGAACTAGATTTCGACATAAAAACAGTCCACCTGGCTTTCTGAGCGGACAAACTGTGGAGAAGGCATACCAAGATCATACGGTGTATGGAGAAGCATCTTTGTGCTGAGTGTCTCAAGTCAGCCCGATTTAATAAATAGGTAGCAGTTATGCCTTTGATCATGCACATAAAGCCCCCCTGATTGAATTAGTACATGAGTAACTGCATTCATTCCGTTATAATACAAGCCAAACTGGAGAACTTCAGCTTAAATTTTTAAATATAAATGCATCTTTTCTCATGATAGTTACAGTAAGGAATACTACTTTTGCTGTTAGTCTCAAATCTTTTCCAGTCACAGACAGTTCCCTACCAGTAATCAACTGCTCCAAACGAATGCGCTCATGGGCAGCATGTTGATCCACCAAGATTAACAGGTTTCCACCTATAAGACGATCAAGGGTTACTGGGGTATCAGATCCTCAGATCAAACTTGAAACAATCATGCTGTGCAGAGAGATAAAAAGCATAATCCGGGTCCGGGCAAGCGCAAGGACCCGAGTTCAATCCCCAGTACCAAAAAAATAAAAAAATTAAAAAAAGCATAATCCAACCTATTTACAAACTAGTAAGCATAAGAAAAAATACATTGAGTAGTAGCAATTGTATCATGTAAATAGGGAAAATAATATTTCTATTTCTGATGAAAAACTCTTTAGTTCATCAGTGTTCCATTTATGAAACAAGGTTAAAGTATCAAATTACTAACATTTAAATGCTGATTTTGATTTATTAACTCAACCTGAAGGCAATGAAGAATCATTGGACATTATTATAATCAGCTGATGTTGATTTGCAAGGATTTCTGAAACTCCTGAAAAATGTACTTCTTGTACACTTTAGATCAAAGGCCAGGAATTTTCTTCTGTTAAGGAGCAGACAGAAAATATTTCAGGCTTTTTCAGCCAAATGTTTTCTTTTGTGACTGCTCAAGTGTTCATGTTGGGCCAAAGCAGCCATAGACACTATGTGAATACTGTATCTGTGTTCCATAAAACTTTATTTATAGACATTGCAATAAGAATTTTACTGAGAGGAGAAATGTTCTTTTCTTTTTCCAACCATTTAGGAATGTAAAAACCTTATCTCCCTAGCGGTACAGAAAAGGCAGTGGCTGGGTTTGCCCACAGCTACAGATGCTACTTCAGACCGGGGCTTCCTTCACATACTGCACATCATCCCAACTCTTACGTAAATATACAGTGGACCCTTGACTTAGGAACTCACTTAGTTCCCGAGGGCTGGTTGTAACTAAGTCAATACAGCTATAACTGAGATCTAGATGTCTACCTGGGTAGACGCTATAGATAACAAGAGGCAGATAAATCTTCCATTAACATAATTAACCCGTTTTTCATATGTTAGGCCAGTCATACTCAAGGGTCCACTGTAGCTCCTGATTCTGGAGGTTCACACTGGCACACAGCCTCTGCAATTCTCATAGACTCCTGGGTGGTGCCACCTGTAGGCATCACTTGAAGAGTAAGGCTTTGGGCTCTCAAGAACAAATGAGGAGTCAATGTCTGACCCAAAAACTACACCTAGAGTGATGATCTCATGGACAGAAAGACTGTACAATATCAATACAGGTTTTTGGCTTACAATTTTATTTCTTTTGGCCAAAATGTTGAGTTTACTGCTACTAATTTTATACATACACACACACACACACACACACACACATATACATATATATATATATATATAT